CGAGCATCTCCATCTAACAGCAAATGGGTTAGTCGTGCACAATTGTGAATACCGGAATATAAAGCAAGAAGTGTCGCGAGAGAAGATTTGTAACCCAATCATTCGCTGCTATCAAGGCCTTCTGCGTAATTGCAAAATGTGACGCAGCTTCCCAAATAGATGAAGATACGGTGGCATATGCCACAATACGTCAACACACCGTAACAGAGTGAACAAACGCTGCGACATGGGAAACAAAGGCTATGCGTTGCGAACCTCAGCTTTCAGGAGTCATGAGTCTAGTGGGTGACATAAAATTGTAACAGGTCATCAGCATAAGCACAGTAGAAAAATGCGTCGTTGTCCATTAGTCATGAAAGTCAGTGAATGAGGGAAAAGAACCAGTTATGATACCCGGATAAAAGAGCGTAGAAATTAAATTCCAATTCATTAAGCTAGTCAGATCAGCAACGATGAGCAAAGATTAATCGCTAAACGCCACATGTGAAAACGTACTGCAAATCAGGAGCTCGTAACCAACTGATAAACCAACGCCCAGTAATGAGTGTCCGAAATGTCTCCCAAGCAATTTCATGTTCAATAGAGGCTTCATCAACAGGTAACAGTGCAGCTAACCACCGCAGCGGCTGTCCGAAAATTGTGGAAACCTGCAACATCAGTTGATAGATCATACGCAGCTGCATTCCCAACAAGGTGTCACACAAGATGGGTGCAGTTGGCCAGACGACTGTATCAGATGAACCAGTGGAAAGTCGTGAAACAAGCAGGGCTGCTGGTGTGGCTGATGCGGCAGCATCAACGAGTTCTGTGCCATTCACCACTGTTTGTTGAGACTGGAGTGCGTTCCAGTGAAATGCAACCGATAACATCGGCAAACAGATAGTTGCGATGCATGCCAATATAATGTAATCAGTAGAAATGCCTTGCCGCTCCACAGCCTGAGAGAACGACAGAGAAAGATCGAGGGAATATAAAAAACGCAAATATACAAGAAGGAAAGCGAGAGCGAAAAGAACTGTTATCAAACGCGTTAGCGTGTTGATTTACTCGCCAGGTAGGACGATTTAGCTGCGGATTTCATCTTTCCTCGGGATGATGTTTTTAGTGCACAATAACCTCGCTGATGTATACTGATCAGAGAACGAATTTGGATACCAAGACACCTAGACAGACAAGTCACCTGGACAGACTATGCAAAATCCGCAGTCAAACTATCGAAATGGGTGAACAAATGTTAAACTCAACAGCCAGATTGGCCCATAACATTTCCAGTTAGTGCGAATGAAACCTCGGAAAGGATTACCCGGATGACGTTGCAACCGATGTCCAACATGGTGAGATCGAACTTGGACACGTTCTCGCCTTCCCACACGTAACAGCGAACTGTAAAGGGGGAAAAGCAGGCATGATTGCATCTAGAAACCGCTTTTGTACTAATGACAGAAGGCATAGAGCAACTGTAGAATACGGCTTGCTGGTAACAAATGCACAAAGGTATTGCAGCAACATCCTTTTCATGAGAATTGGCGCAAAAAGCGAGGTTAAGACGTAAACAAAAGGTCTGGCACTGAAGCTAACCTAAGATGGGGTAAATTCGCAGGAAAACGTAATATGACATGGCTTATGATATCAGTTCAGTTGAACAACTATGATCCTAGCACCAAAGTGCGGTGGATCTATTTGTCACGAATCACACGGAAAGAATAACAATGAGTAACAACGGCAAAATAGTTGGATTGAATGCAAGCAGAATGTAAAGAGAATGGAAGCAAGAAGGAGGTGGGTTAAACTAATCAGGAGGGAACGAAAATTAACAACCAGATGCAAGAAAACGAATGCAGGAACGCCAATGATTGCGTGACTGCGCCATGTCTGACGTGGCCTCCAACCATTGGTGTGGACCATCCTGATGCCCTCATTCACGAAGATGGCACGAACCAGCCTGACCAAGTCTCTCAGACCATTTCTACATGCCATTATGCCACGTCATGGACTGGCCACTTCCCGGTTTCACCCAAGTTGGTGCAGCCACGGAGTATAATGCATGCCGAAGAAGTCGGCCAACAGGCATGCGGAGGACATGGTCTAGCCAATGTAGGCGATTCCGATTCAAAAAACACTCGAGTGAGGCACCAGAAGGTTTCTTGCCAAAAATCAACTGGCGGACCTTTGCACTGTTCACCCGGTGGCCAAACATGTCCAAGTATTTAATATCTTTACTTCGAACTGGCCAGGTCTCTGATCCATACAGCAAGACCGGACATACCGCAGCGTTATACCCCCTACAATTCACTGACAAGCTGATATCCCGCCGTCTCCATAGACAGTTGAGTCTCTACAAAAGCTACACGGGCCTTGCCGATACGAGAAGTAACTTTCTCAGTGATGTGGCCACCAGTGGTGGCACAGCTAAGGAAAGTGAACTGACCCACCACTACCATTAGCTGTTCGGTGATAGAACCAGAGGTGTGTCGGTCCAATGCTGAAGCAATACTTTGCACTTAGAAGGTGTAAAGTACATCCGAGGTGTGCAGCGCTACCTTTGGGCCTGTGCAGTAGTGTTGGCATAGCCACTGCGTCGGACCTAAGAAGAGTTGTCTCGTCTGCATGTCCCAGGTTTGTCAATCGGTCACCTGGTTTAACCTCCACTCCGGTATAATCTTAAAAAAAACCGAGTCATTCATGATCATTTCGATCACAAAGTTGAACGGGAAATGAGATATAGAACAACCCTGGAGCACCCCACTTGTCATGGGGAACTCAGAAGACGGTTTCCCATAGACCCTTACACGCCCTCGGGAGTCACGGTAGAGACTGCATTTTGGTGGCACACCTCTCATGGATAAGCAGTGCCGTAGGCTGGCGCTGTCAAGAGAGTCGAAGGCGACTCTCAAGTCAAAGAAAAACCAGTATGATCGATCGTCTGTATGTGTCTCTGCTCTAACACTTGGCGAATAGCAAATATGTGGTCGATACAACCACGACCAGGGCGAAAACCTGGCTTTCAGAGATTCGGTTATCATTGTGACCAGTAATTCGTCAAAGAATGATAAACGTGAGAAGTTTGGATGCAATGGAAACAAAGCTAATGGCTCGGTGATTTATGCACAAAGTACGCTGACCCATCTTGAAGATTCGTACAACAGTTGACAGCCTCTGGTCCGAAGGCAAGTTTTCAGTGTCCCAAATCGTGTTAAAAATAGAAGCAAGTGGGGTCAACAAAGACTCACCGCTACCTTTCAGCAAAGATGGGGAAAGTCATCGGATCCAGGAGCATTGTTTCGTTTCAACACCGAAAGTGCATGTCAAATATCTTCCAAAATGAGAGGTGACGTCTAGTTCCCACGACGGCTCAGGCGATTTGGCAAGCAGCAGCGTCGCAGCAAGCGTGCTGAACTGTTTCTTAAAAGGTTCCGCCCAACGAGCCATTCAACGACACTGAGAATGGATCAACAGTCCATCTTTTTCAGCTATTGTCTCGCAAACTGATGGCTTTTTGGTACCTGTTTTCCGGGTGGACTGGAATGGCACTCCGCTGTTCCCAACAGCACTGACTTTCTCCATCTAACAGGCCCCTGTCATCGATCAACGTTCCCGGTTAATGCGAAGCCTCCTTATCAGACCTCCTTTCAGAGTTACGTACACGCTGAAACTCATTGTCCATCGGAACTTGTTTCCATTCTTCGATCAAGCCGATCGATTTCACATCGATCCATTCCTAGTTACGATGCCTCAAGATAGGTGCGCAGCAAGCGTCAAAGGCATTCTTCATGGCACCTGAAATTACCTGAAATACTAATCAATCAACTTGCCCAGCTCGGCGTACACCACACGTATTTCGATGTGAGACGCGTGACAGGCAATGCACAAACCTAAGCACAAGGGCAATGAAGGAAAAAATGCAGACTAGGCACAAAAAATATCATTAATGTTCGACAGAACTAAGCGATACAAAATGCCCGAATGTAGCCAAAATAAACGATTCACTTTTGGGCTTGCAAGCTAATTTAGCGCAATGTGACCGAACCTAAAACATGGCGCGGTGGTCTGCCAAATTGGGTGACACTTTTCACGTACCTACTGAGCTACACATACTAGGTAGGTTCGTGGGCAGAGGCTAAGAAAATTCACTCCATGAATCCGGCTCTTGAAGGCTAAGTAATTTTTCGGGCAAGGCCCAACGAGAACTAAAGACTAAGTCCAGGCCGCAATCAAAAATTATGTACTGTCAAAACTACGTTCTATGTATATGGCACCCTACTCCGTTGAGGAATGTGGATTTGGTTTATCGATCGAGTTGACTGACCGTATGGCATTATAAAATGATAAAGGTTCATGCATTTGAGCGTTGCAGCTCAGCTAGCGGTGAGCAATCTTTAAGAACGACCATTTTCCTGGGTGCTCTGATTACATTGGCTAACACCAACAACTACAACTACCGATGTTGATGGACTCATCTTTTCAAACGCAGTCTCTGAAAGCAACAATGCACTGGTCATAATGTCAGCACGATCGGCTTAGATATGAGCACCACGGGTTGTCTCCAAGGGTAATATAGTAGTGCCCTCGCCCTCCAAAGCTGGAAACCTCCTGTTCTAAGGATGCGAACCTGCAAAAAATCCACCGGTGGGTGGCCGTGGTCGTTGGTGTACCACAGTCCAAAAAGATGTGCAAAGTATTAAATCTTACAGGGCCGCGTGTGATAGGCCTCAATTAGTTCCAAATCCGACGCTGCAGTTCAACATCCGAGCAGGACGTGCTCCTCACTTTCAAAGGCAGAAAGATGAGTCTCCTCTGACGGATAGTTGAAAAGAGGCAGACGAAGAGCAGTACCTGCCCGAGAAACCGTTATTAACAATCTTTCCCACTCTTCCGTTTCCCTTGTACTGTCTAACGATAAGAATTCATTGAAGAGTTCATATTCCATGTCGTATTCCACGTCATCTTTCAGAGCTAGAGCACGATTCTATATTAGGCATCTCAATGTCCAAGCACTCGCTATTCCCCTATACTCTCTCGCAGTTGATATCTGCATACAATCTATGTACGCATAAAATAATCAGATTTCAATGATTGGACGTACATACTTCGCGTCTCCATGTATGCCGAATCATATCAGAAGTGCATAAGCTGAGCTTATGTAATCAATTCCAATGAACAGCTGCATGCGTGCCGTTGAATATCGAAGTTCCATAATCAGCCGAAGTAGCTGTGACTTCAGTTGCTCCGGATTAAACAAAAGACTGTAGAATGAACCTCAAAAGTAGCTCGCTCTCATCCGAGTGGCCGAAAGCGAGGACATAGTGATCATTGTTCAATTTGGTCGCTTACCAGAACCTGAATATTTCCGCGGAAGCCGTTTCGGAGATGACACGCATCGTACTGACTGTGAGATTGCGTGTCGTAATCCATTCGCACAACGAGTGCTTGAGAATGATGCCTTTACTCAGTCATTAGCCATTGTAAAAAGCGTTGCCCGCCGTGATTGTTGAACTCGAATCGCCACCAGGAGTTGAGTCCCACACTCCGTCAACCAGCAATTCGGCTGTCTCTGTGCTGTTTGCCAATGATGTGTCTAGTTAGGTGAAACTCAAAGTCACCGGTCAATGAAATCAAGAAGCCTTCGAGATCGGCCAGCTAAGTGGTTAAACATTCCTTCAAATAGTACACAATTACGGTGTCAATGACACACCTGGTTTCACTCCATCAAATCCAAGCCTCTTGACAGGTAATACTTTCGGAAGTCGGTGACCTATTGACAAAGTCATCTCCAGCCGACCATCACGTCCTGACTTCCATTTCCAGCTTTGGCTTTTCCACCGAGGAGCCTGAGCACGAAAGTGATTGTGGAATGTTACGCCAGGAGCAAAACGTTACGCATCAGGACCGTCGCCCCAATGGTAATAGTGACGGAATTTTACTTAAACGAAACTGGTGGACAAAACAGAGGTTACATATTATATTCCGTACGCGTATTGCGTCCGCCAGAATCCAAATGTGCAAACATTTCAATCAAACTGGGTTCTCAATTGGAGCATTAGGTCATATATTCCATCGCATAACTGCGGTAGGCGGCATATACACGAATTTTGTCGCTGACTGGTGTCGACGCAGTCTGATGACCAGCAGACAAAGAAGTTAAAAACATCAGTGAATGCAAACAATTCTGCAGAAATGCGAAGATACACGTATCCCGTGAATGACTCAACGCTACTTCATAATCTAAAGTAGCAAATGTTATCCAAAAAGATCCATGGAGAGGAATGAGCATTCACAAAGCGCACCAAGCAGTGGCAAGCAATAAAATAAGGAAAAGATAGCAAACAGGAGTTACTAGGACCGGTTAACCGAGGCTAAAACCACAAGTCACGAAAAACAACACCATGAAGAAAGTGAACAAGCTTAAATAAGCAAGTAATCGGACAGCAGACTTCAAAGCGAACCACAGCGGCTCACCTGTGTCAGTTAGCGTCGAAGACCTAGAACTCCAATTCTTCGCAATGGGATCGTGTAGCTAGAGAAAGAAAGTCACACGACAGAAAGCAAATGCAGTCAAAGCAAAACTGAATAAAACCAACTGAATTATACAATTCAGTCCAGTTATCTGATAGATGGATTTAGGTGGTATGAGCCACGTCGCTACAATACAAACAGCCAATAAACACGGGTGAATGAGGGGAGAGAATCACATGAATGAAGCAAATGAAAAGGAGATAGAACTGGCAGATAGAAAGCAAAAAAGGAACGTTGAATCAAATAGAAAATCGACAGCGATATCGCAGCAATGGCATATCTTGGTCTACTTTCGCCAGGGTTTTTCGTTAACACAGCAAAAATAAAATAACAAAACGCAGCCCGCAAAATATGTATGTGCCAAAGACCCCGTGGTCCACACGAGTCACAAACTTTGTCTTGACAACTGCACCACTTGTTGCAACGCGTGTGATTTGAAGAGGAAGCGTCGGCTGATGGGAAGAATGTCCTTGTCCTCCCACTGCACAACAGCAAAGAAAGCAAGCAATGTTGTATGAATTATCGTGACATCGACTTGCTGAGTAGTGATGGGAAGATGATCGCCCGAATCCTGCCCAACCGACTCGTCAGTCAGGTTGTGGAACCGAACGTGAGGGACGAGCAATGCGGATTTCGTTCGGACCGCAGCACCATAGATATAGTGTTTACGGCTCGTCAAATTCAAAAGGAAAAACCTAGAGCGACACCATCCACCGTACTCGCTGTTATAATAATAATAATAATGATAATAATAATACGTATCTTACTCCTGATGCGAGAAACTGTGTCTGTAGCGGCAAAGACCAATTGGTACAGAAGTATTCATGCTCTTGCACGGGTAATATGCATAGGTGGAATATTGGGGTGTGCGTTTCATGGTTACGTTCTGAAGGATGTTTGAGGCAAAAGCCTAGTTTTGGGAACACTGGTGTTTATGAATAGGGACTTTCCCCATACGAATATACTGAGTATGGTATTTAGATAGAGGTATATGGAGAGTTTTCTTCCAAATTTCGCCGCATTATCACGTGATCTGAGTGTGATTGGTGTTTATTCCACAGCTGTATCTAACCAGGAGGAAATTAGAGCGAACGTTCGTTTCGGCCTTCGGTATATTCAGTGTAAAATCTTTACTGTGAAGCTCTCAAGTTGAGCTGTCGTAGTTCGAGTGCATAGCAGGCTGAAAAGCAGCAACAAGTTGTGCTTCAATCGTCGAATCCAAAGTGGTTCGAGTTGAAGTTCATTGCAATGATCTTGATAACTCATAGCAGAGTGCTTACCAATCAGATGTTTAGTAAATGACCTCCGCAGGTGCTCCACAGCAATTCTGCCACTTTCTCATGTTGCTATATATCATGCTGCATTATTCGAGGATGGGCGAGTGAGTAGCCTGAAAAGCTCTAGCTTCACCAAGGGTATTCAACATGGTGAACCGCGAGGCACTGTGGCTGGTGTTGTGTAAGTTTGGTTATCCGAATAAGTTCGCAGTTTTGATTGCATTCGTGCACAGTGGTGTGCGAACGACCAGCTGAGTGGACAGATGTCAGATAAGTTTGTAGTTGTCTCTGGCGTAAAGCAAGACTGCGTCTTAGCTCCTACCCTGTTTAACATTTACCTAAATGCTACGTTGTCTTATACTTTTGACGCGCTTTGTGATTACGGTGACCATGTGGAACACCGTATCGATCGTGGGTTGATGGATATTCATCCTTTCGGGCGAGAAACTTATTGTATGAGATAACCATCCGAATGTTACTCTTCGCTGACAACTGCGTTGGTTGTACACAGCGCGGATGAGTTGCAGCACATGATTCCCGCCTCAACAGCAGCCAAATTCAGACACACCATCAACACAAACGAAACCGTTTAGCTTTTTCAGCCTTTAGCTGAAACTGACCCTTTGTGGTTGAGCCAGTTTGGTAAGGATGCTGAGAAAAAGCCTCCCGCCTTTGCTATGTGGGCAGCATAGTTAGGACCGATCTCCAGATGACGAGCCAGCTGCGCATCTGCGGATCGAAGGCGACTGCCAAAATCGAAAGACTGGAACAACTGGTGTGCAACCATCATCGCTATCGGGCGAGTCCCCAAGTTGCGGATTGGAGAATGCTCAATTTGTGGAGGTTATTGCGAATCTCGTTTACCTTGCAGGCGAGATGAATAAGCAGTCAAAGACAATTAGCGGCAGCGTCACAGAGAGTGAAGAGTTCTGGGCTGGTCAGCTGGTTCTCCATCAAATACCATAAGAGCTCATAGGGCGCTGTGTCAAAGCGAATGTGACCGGCTATAGGGTCACTACCACTCAGTTCTGTTACCGGAGGTAAGCACCTAACGGGGGGCGGATGAACAACCTTGTTGGCCACCGGCTTCCCTGTGGACTGCTATGAACACAAAGTGGCGAATAAGTTACCCAGCTGTCAATAGTCTTTGTTAATCGCCCCGCTGTCTTGCGGGTCAGATCATTATGACCAAAGGCTCAGGGTGAGGTCCCTTAAGTCAACCCACTTTCTCGGCCTGGGCAACCGGGAAGACCTCTGCCCACATAACGCATAAACCTTCTTAACTCTTCCATTGACTACCTGTTTTTTCCCTTTTTGTGTTGTGGCACCGCCAAGTGTATACCGGTCAAGTGTTGTGCCCCATGCTGAGGCTGATGTTGCATTATTGATGCTTCTTCACCGCGGTTGGGCTAAACCACCTTACACTTAAACTAAGTCTCTTTAAGCTGCATAAATTTCATTCCAGTTTATTTGGTTTGTTTGGCCTATCTGGATCGTCTTCTATTAGTTGGCCACGTTGTTTACGCTAATTGCGTCCATCTTCGGTAATTTTGTTGCCTTTGTAGCATTTTTGAGTAACTTGTGGACATTCTTTTTCCTTATCGCGTATTCATTGCTAACCAAATTACTTCATATGCTAAGTTAGCGAAGAGTTATGCCACCGTATCTGTATGCATTATTGGATTTATTTTATTTGATATTGTCGTTTCAAGTGATTGGCTGTTGCTTGATATCCCCGGTGTGGATGCGCTTGATATGCATGTTGACAAGGTGCCTACCTGTCTATTACCCACTACCTCGTCCATACTGGCTCCAGGAGACAGTTGGTCGTCGCTGGAGGGGACGGGGTGCACGGTCCTTGTGACCGTGCTAGGCTCGAAAAGTGGTTCCGTGCACTCAGTGTGGAGCGGACTACGGTCCAGCCACTGCCTTGTGTGCGCTTGATTCCCAGAATACAGTGTGCATGTGTTTGCCTGTGAAGGAGTGTGGGCCGGCTCCGTTGATGAAACGTGGTTCCCATCCACATACCTCCCGGTCTTATTCCTTCGGGTTTACACTGGAATATGGGGTGTGTGGTTGGAGCTGTGGGTGGTGCAGCGCAAGCCATCCATGCTCCCTCTGTAGGCGCAGGCGTCCTGTGGCTTGCCACAGTGACAGGCGAATCCGAAACCGGATGCCGTCAACCATATACATATATATAGAGCCAAAAATTCGTACGGCTCAAGGCCAATAGGTGTGGTATTTCGAGCTGGGTGATCCAATGGGAATTTGGCAACGCGTGGTGGGCGGTACGGGTCAAATAAAACCCGAACATACTGTGCCAATACTTTTGACAAGAGTCGACGATGGCTGTGCTTGGACTTTAATACGCCATCGCTGATGGATGGCTTAAGCGCACGTGGTTTTTCGAGAAACCACACCGGCCTTACCGGCCTATGTAATAGAGTTATTCAGCGTCCTAACATCACATGGATGAAGACGTAGGGATAGCCATGGATTGTAGTGCCTTTCCTATTTCTGATCAAGAGATTTTGACTTGTGTAGCATACAAGCCGGAGCATTCGATGTCAACCGAACGCGCAAGAAGATATCGTTAGCGAGGTTACAAAGCAATTCCATTTGGTCAGGAAAAATGCCAACAATACTAAGAGAAACCGGAGAACTTTATGGAGTTCGAATCACAAAGCTAAGAGAAGGAGAATAAGTGTCAATGAAACACTTATACCAAAGTGGAACTGGTATAAAACTTCAAGTTGACCCCAAGCATCGTTCCAAGAGTCGCTGAACAAGCATTCTGAAAAGCGACGGAATTATTCGGTACGTTTATTGCAAAGGCAATGGTATACAAAGGTGCAAACCGTTAAGTGAGAAGCAGTATTCAGACGTTAAAAATGACCACGGCTGATCGTTTTATCGCATAGAGTTGTTCCGATGCCTGATAAATTGTAACATGTTATTGCACTCGTCGCTGCTAATGCGAAAGCTAGTATGGCATAACTTCGACTCTATAAAAGAATCAGACATGCCAGCCAGTTTCTCATCGATCATAATCCTGTAGAACTTTGAAGTCAAATCGAATAAGAGGGTACATCCGAGTTCGATATCGCAAATGTCCTGACATACCGATCAATGATAGTCACAGTCAAGGGGAATACAACAGAATGTGAGCCAGTTGGCCAAAGGTGTATCACGAGGCCACGATTTCGTGTTCAGAAGACAAGGAACAAATCGAATCCGAGGAAGTGAAGAGTGGGAGTTAAGGCGGCCCAATGTTCGGACTAACAGACGGCCAAGGTTCGTAACATCAAAGTGGAACGAGAGGAATGGTTAAAACACATGATTAGCATCAGCTAGGAAGTCAGTGGTAGTCACTGTGCAAAGTACTACTGAGTATGGAGTTGCAACAGGGAAAACTAAGTAATACAGCAACGGGATGCTGCAAGTAGACGAAATACTGCGATTGCCAATTCTGATAGAACGATGCTCGAGGTATTTCACATCACATCCTTGACTAAATAGTCTGAGCCAAGAGGTAGAGAGGGGACCACCTTGACTTGTTAACGCGACGATGGAGTTCCAATCATACAATCCTCGAAGTCTCAGATATCGCGTATGTCCCAGGGCAGATAATATGGTGTATATAGGGCCACAAGTTACTGCTGGCGGTTTTGTAATTTGTTTGCCCGTGATGTCTGCGACACGATGAGCAGCATTGGTGTGCTAC